TGCACTAAGCAATTATTCCAGCACCCCTATATTAAATCTTTTAATAAAAAAAATAATGGATAGCATATCAAAGTTAGGACACATTTAACATTTATTTAATCGCGTGATTTTTCAAAGTATTAATAAACTAAGTGGTTCTTCTGTCATTAAATTCACAATATAACAAAATGGACGCTTCAAGTTCATATCAATGAAATTGTATAGCAGTAATCACAGCATACTTATTACGATTTTAAAAAGTTAATAAAGTTATAAGTGATTTAGTATAAAAAATTATGAAGAATGGTCATATTTTATTTTAGAACACTTGATAATTTTCTATATAAAATATAGTTTTGGTTCATATATTTCACACTTGCCTGTTGCCACCATTTTACATATGTAGTCTTTCGTGGTCTGCTTGGTATTCGGACAATGCCTTTCGACAGTTGCCCCCTCAGAAGTCTGTCCCCTTTTTGCAGTGGCGGACATTTGCCCCCTCATATCATTGGAAGGGGCGGACATTTGTCCCCCCCCCCCCCTCCATGTTTTAAAAATGTTAAAATATTTTATTGTTCAATTGTTTGTAACCAAAATTCATCGCCTATTGATGAAATGTCATTGTGCTTAAATACACAAAAACTCTCACGCAAATTTTTGAAAGTCAAAATAACATCCATAAATAAATGTACTATAATATTTCCATTGGCATACAAAAAAATCTATACACGTGATATCACGACAACAGCAAAAAGGAGGGGGGGGGCAACTATATCGGCCTCGTACATCGATCTTTCTGTTTAGAAAAGACCTAGTCACGAATTTCATGAAACACCTCGAGCGCTACGCGCTCTCTGTGTCACATGAAATTCGTGACAAGGTCTTTCCTAAACAGAAAGACCTCGTGTACTCGGTCGATATCCTATACAAAAATACTAATTGAAACTGTCACACGTCTGTCGTAAAAAAATCGAGTTTTACGAAAGAAAGCGCTAAATTTTCTGTCTATACAGGACTTGGCCACGCAAACATTTGCCTACTTAAGGGAGTCTATTGCTTTGGTGGCCGGTTGCGATCATTTCTAACTCGCGAGAAATTTTACCGGCAACTAACAAACCCGTGATAAGATGACAATATCTACAAGTTAAATTTGCCCAAAACGGTCGTTCCGCTGTTATATTTCAAATACTTTATAATCAATTTTATTAATTCAAGGCTAACGGGTTATAAAATTATATACTCAATATTTTTTGTAACTTTACTAGGTAGGAACATGATTGAATGATGTGAATAATATGATTTAAAAAACACAATTTTTATGTGTGCTATTCATCACAGCTACTAAAGGGGAGTAATACAATGTTTACCACCACTAACTTTTGTATCATAGTTATCTTTCTTGTACTTTTATTGTACATTTGAATTTGTGATTTAAAGATGCATGTCTCAAGGTGAACCGAACTATTTCAAGAAAATCAAAGTTGATACAAAATGTACTAAGATTATTAAAAAATTAACAGATTCAAGATTGAATAAATGATTTACATGTTATGTGCGATTTATGAATGATTTTGAAGTTTTTTATCACCATATTTCTACTGCATTAGTAACACAGTCAGGGCTAGTTTTACATATTTTGACTTCTTTTCGATAATGGAAAATAGTTAATTGTTAGTGCCATTTACAAAGTGTAAGAAACTTTCTTTGTTTACTGTAAAATATTGTCCTATTTTTAAATTTATATATTAATCTACTATTCGGTGTCGTTTATAACAATGACAAAATATTTCAATATAATTGAAAGAAAATGAAATGTCGCAGGTTGTCAGATGTACGTCTTATGTCCACCACATGTTTGTTTTATTCTAAGTTGGCAAATAAAATATACAAATTAAATACAGTCTAGTATAGTATATTTCTATTGATTCCTTTTCTGTAAGCTTGTTTGCATGGAAAAAGATATTGTGTCGGTGTGTTATCGTTTGACCCGACACAATTCGGATGTTAAAAGTTTAGGTTCTCATGACTTATATATACTGAGCATCTAAAATAAAAATGTCCAATTTAAACCTTAAAGGAACTCAACTAAGGTTTTTCGACATGACGGGACTTGTGTTAATGCTACATTTGATGACCTTCTAGATAAATAAAGTTTGTGCAAAATTCAAGATCCTACAGCCACTCATTTTTCCAGAATCATTTTTCTGATTGTAAAAAGTTATCCAAAATTGAAAAGCGATGCGACGCTTGTCATTCATATGGAACTAAGAATAGCACAAAAATATGATTTTCAATTCTTTATAAGTATATTTCTTAATTATCTTTGCATATCTTTCAGTTTAAAGAGCCCCAATTGATCTTTGTCTCAAATTCATTTTTTTAGGATTTTGGACATCAGTTTCTTTAACCCTACTACCGGTAACTGATTCGTCGTATGCGACAAGAGCAAACGAGTATCAACCAACACACGTCTGATTATTGGCCACATAGTTCGATATTCCGTTAGTTAGGACATATTTGTAATTTCCTCTAATAATGAATAGTTTTTTAAGATAACTCCTTTTAAAGCAGCACGCATACAGGACCATGCTAATTTGTATGGAAATTTTTGAAAATTTATTTAAAAGTAAAATGTTTTGAAGTGAAGAAAGACAGTAATTTACACATTGAATCATCACTAACAATCACGTAAGAAACAAAACAAAACAAAGCAAAAGTATTATAGCATTGTCCTTACTGCGTAAGTCTTGCCGTAGAAATGTGGTAATAAATTATGCAAGACAATAATTATTTGCACTTTTACCAGAATCTTGAATCTTTTTGTTTTTCTTTAAGTCTTAGAAAATGTTCCTCAAGTTGGACTTTCTTAAAATATGTTGGCCCATCAGGAGGCATGCAGCTTTAAAACTATTCACAATTATATATTACTTTCACAAAAATAATATATTTTGTTTTCTTTTATTACGTAAACAATACATGTTACTATGGTTACAAACATTTAGAGAAATATTTCGTGGCTTGTTTTATTACAAAATCGAAGAAATTCGGCTAATTTCGTTTCCAAAATTATATTAAGCGACTACATGATTAAGAATTATATGATTCAGAAAAATGTTGTATGAATCAATTGATTGATTGATTGATTGATTGCCATAAATTCAAAACAAATTGCCGAACGTACACTATGATATGGTAGTTAAAGTCCATTTAATGCAGTTTTTAATTTTATTTAAAAAAAAAATAAAGTAGGTCAGTGGTTGTTACATTGTTAATGTAAATTTGACATTTGTGAATTTAACACTTGTGAAATGGACTCTTGTGACTTTGATAAGTTACAAATTCTATAATGTCAAGATAAAGAGTACCACGAGCTGAATGCTTTATAATCATTTCAAGTTGTATGAATATTAAATTCGTCGTTCTTGCAACAAAGAAAATAATTGTGTTATAAAGAGCATTATTGTTTTGCAAAATCGACCGTGTCAATTGCAAATTTAGTTTTTAAAGAACTTGTGTGTTAATATATAGCCGATTATTGTAGAACTTCTGAAAGTTATTCAAATGATAACCAACGTGTAGATTCTATGAGCACAATGGAAATAAGAGTCTCTCTTTATTTTGCTATCCGTGGTGCTGGTATACATGTAATGGCTTATTTATACTCATGTATGTTATAAATGTATATATTCTTTTAAATGTCATAAATATGTAGTTTAAGTATACTGGAATAAATCTATCTAAATCTATCTATAGGGGGCAAAGCATAGTTTCAAGGCTACAAAACAAAACAACTGGCTGTGTTACAAACCTTTTGTAATTACACTCATGAAATAAATGCATCTCATAATTACATAAACATGTTCAATATTCAACTTCTAGTTCACTTAAAGGTAGTCTTTGTGATTTCAAATGTTAATATATCTAATTCAATTTCAAAATGGTCCATCATGTGTTCGCTCTACCCAAACCAATTCTAAACTAACGCACCGAAACTGTCGACTATCTCCGGAGAATAAACCGATTTATAACAATGTCAGCTGATCTTATTTGCCACTGTTCATGTTGTTTGGTCAACGAGGCAGTGTCAGTTCTATCCCCTGTCACCATGTTTACAAGGCGAGGTCAACCATAATCACTTAAGTATTGAATTTCAAATGCTGTACTTTTGAAGAAATTGGATATTGATCGAACTGGTCATGCATTGTATCTGTTTATTTATTTATGATTATTATATTAGTGGACAGAAGTTTTAAGAAAAATAATTCAATTTATCATGTGTCAGACAGGCGCACCTTGATGAACGAATGGTACTTCTAGTAATTTAATATAATAGTTATGTATAACACATAAAACACCTTTGCCTTTGAGTCAGGAAAAATGTTCGTGCTTTCACTAATAAAGGTAAAGCATGTATAAGTATTCTAGAAGTAGTTCGAATGCCCCCTAGCTGAAGTAGAAATAACTAAATTGAATCACATTAAGTTAAGTAAAGCAAGGGATACGTACGAAACAAGCTTGGTTTATGAAAATCATCACCATCATTATATTCGTAGTAATCATAATGAAAATTATTACCACCACACATTGGTTGTTGTTTTCGTTATCATGTCTGGCATTATCATCATATTAGTGGATGTTGTCATCAGCATAATTATCACCATTATCATTAACATCATCATCATATTCGCAGACGTTGTCATCAACATTATTATCACCATCATTATTATCACAATCATCATTAACTTCATCATCATATTCGTGGACGTTGTCATCATCATATTATTGTTTGTTTGTTTGTTTGTTTCATTTTACGCCTTTTCCCAACAGTATTTCAGTCATATAGGCGGGTAGTTTCCTATCCATCGTTCCTGGAGAGTTACACCAGTACTAGACTACCTTCCTCCGCGCTTAACTACCAAAGCATCTCCCGGGGATCGAACCCACGCCAGAGAAGTAACTGGATTAGAGGTAATCGACTCTAACCCCTCGACCACGGAGGCGGTCTCATATTAACACCATCATCATAAAACATTATCAACATATTCGTGGACATTGTCATAATCATAATTATCACCATCATCATTAAAATCATCATCACTTTTGTGGGTTTTGTCATAAGCTTTATTATCACCATCATCATCATCATCACAGTAATACAATTCATTGAAATCCAACCTTTATGATATGACAGAACTGAACATATTTTTTTTTTTTAATTTCTATTTCATTTGATGTAAGTATGTGTGCAATATTTCAAATCATTTGCTCACTCGATCCTTTTTCCATAATAATTATCTTTATTATCATGAAAAAATACCCGAAATTGAAAAGCGTTGCAATTCTTTTCTCTCAAATCGGACATAGAGTAGCATGAAATACTATATGCAATTTTGCAATTTTTAGTATATTTCTTAATCATGTTTTGCATATATCTGTCTGTTTTAGTGCCTGAAAGATTTTTTTTTTTATTTAGGATTTTGGATCTCAGAGGAGTGCTTTTAACTTAATAGAAAAAAAAGTGAATGAATTCAATGAAAGGCGGGAATTATTTCTAAGGTTAAGTTATGAAATTTAATAGCCTTTCACAAAAAACCGTTATCACGTTTTCGATTTTTTTTCTCCCAATATTTAGAAAGAATATGCTGAGTGGGCGTGTTATCATGTTGATCATTCCTCGTACATAGTTTTACATCTTGAATTGGCACATCTATTTCCAATTATTTTATATGGGGTTTATCTAGTTGTAAACTGGGACAATGCCATTATCTTATTTATATAATTAAATTGATTATTTCATTTGCCATTATCATAAGTGATAATAATTGGGGATAAGCGATGATAACTGATATTGTGTATATATCTTATAAGCAACGGCGCAGCGGGTGTAATAAAGCCATTTAATAAAATCGTTATTTTACTACATGTACGAGTGCATAAAACTTTGGCGTGGCGTCATTTCCGTTATATACAATTCTAACACTATCGGAAATTTTTCTATATAAACAAAGAAGGCCCGAAGCGTGCATTATTCTGCAACAATGCACTCGCCGTTCTTATTTTCTCCCTGTGTATTTTCACATTAAGGGCGCCATTTTGTTTGAAAAATCTGGTAAATTAAAACAATTTTTTGTCGAATTTTGTTGTGAAAACTATCTAGAATGAAAGAAAATGGTCGAACTAAGAAAATAAATCCGAACACCAATATCTTTAATTCAGTCGTTAACGCTGTACAGACGTTTAAAGTGTTGTTTACGTGACGTCACAATGTAGCGCCAAACAGCACGTGCAAAACAATCAAAATTTAACGTCGCAGACGAGTTAAGTTTTACATTTATTTCACTTTTGATAATTTGTATTTCGCTTGGAAAATTATAGACTGAAATAAAATAACCAAACAAAGTTTTATCAACGTTTTCAAAATTCGTTATTCTCAAAATTTTTCTACACACGGTAGATTTAACGACAGTTTTTTTCAACCCACTGGAACGGCATTTAAAGAACGTTTCTATTGGCAACTCTGAGGCGAAAACAAATTTAACCGCCAAACAAAAAGTCCAACTTTATAATAATAATTATATTTTTTCTTGACGTGTTAGAATGGAAATAGATATTAATTCTTCGTGCATTATTGTATAATAATGCACGTTTTTCGTTCAAATGCTTTGTAATTAATCACTCAGGCCTATCGGCCTTCGTGATTATATTACTACGCATTTGAACTCAAACCGTGCATTATTCTACAACAATGCACTCAGAATTGATATCTATTTCCTAAATATAGCACGTTAACGTTACACTATAGACGCGTTAATGTAAAATCACAGTTTTTAACTGTAAACCGTTTTTATTTTGGATATGGTATAAATAGAATACATTTATTACATTCGTGTTGATCAAATGCTTAGAGACTCGCATTATATGATTTTATTCGATTTATTTTTAAATTTACTCTCATTCAATATCCTCTTTATATTATTTAATAAGTATCACGGAAATGACAGTATCTGACGACTTTTAAGCCTTATAATAGATCGTATCTGTCTTGATTTATACTACTGAATCATAAGTGGGCTAAAATTCAACACACTGGTAATATGCAGGGTTTTTTTTCGAGACATTCATGTAATTATGTAGTTATTTCTAAAAAGTAGAAATCCGACTGATATAAATCCATGTTATTGCACGTGAAAGTAAACACGTGAACAGTTACCTACAGATCCCAGACTAGTTTCATTAAATTCGTAATAGTTAAAGTAAACTTCAATTAGAAAAACAAATGATTAAGATAAATTCCGTGTGCTGTATAGATTTCGGTTTAACCTAATTTTGTTAGAAAAAAACATTAACAGCAGATGTTGAAGAAATTTGTAACAAGTTTTATGTAATTGCTTGGCATTAACCATGTAACTCCCGCGTTGCTGACAGGTTCAACCTCCGACGGTAATCTATATAATTTTATTCCGTGTGATATTTGAAGAAACACAATTCTTTTTTAAGTTATTAGCTTCAATAAGTATATTAAAGCTAAGAACGTTGATTTTGGTACATAACATGGTTTTTTTTTCACAGACAAAGTTAAGACAATAAATTTTTAGGTGAGGTCAAAGCTCCTCTTTCCTTAGTCTGCATGATTTAATGCGCGGTTAAGAGGAGTATGGAACGCCGTGACTGTCTTATGTGATCAATGTTTTTGCTATCTTGTGAAATGATGATACTATTTTGTCGTTTAAGCATGTTAACATGTGCAATTTACATCATGTCTTGTCAAAATACCATGCTGACTTGTTCAAACAGCATGTTAACTTGTCAAATAATCATGATGACATGAGCAGACAACATGTTAAATTAAACAATCTCAATCTCTTATAAAATTAACCTCTGTCTTTTAATCTATACATGTTTTGAAAACATTCATTAACGTGCCCATTCTTAATCAACGATCACTTAATAGCGTATTCAAAGCAAAAAATAATAATCAACAATCATTTGCATATATTTTTAGAGGTTGTTTCAGAGGGGCCATTGACGGCATACATGTATCATAAAAAAATCCAGTCAAGCATGTGCACTTTCAAGAACAGAAATCTCGAGAGAGAAAATAATGAGAATATAAAGGAATGTCTTTTTTTGGAACCACGTAAGACATTCCGATAGCTTTCTGAGGGTGCATAAGGTCAGGCATAATAAATCATGAAAATTTTCATTCAAAAAATCATACAAAAATTTGTTAATTTTAAGTAGCTTAATTGTTAGTGCCAGTAGTCAAGTAGTGTAGCACTGTGTGGGTTCAAGTAGTCCAGTGGTATACCACTGTGTGGGTCGTAGAAGTCCGGTGGTATACAACTGTGTGGGTCTTATAAGTCCGGTGGTATACCACTGTGTGGGTCGTAGTAGTCCGGTGGTATACCACTTTGTGGGTCGTAGTAGTCCGGTGGTATACAACTGTGTGGGTCTTATAAGTCCGGTGGTATACCACTGTGTGGGTCGTAGTAGTCCGGTTGTATACTACTATGTGGGTCGCAGTAGTCCGGTGGTATACCACTGTGTGGGTCGTAGAGTCCAGTGGTATACCACTGTGTGTGGGTCGAAGTAGTCCGGTGGTATACTACTATGTGGGTCGTAGAAGTCGGGTGGTATACCACTGTGTGGGTCGTAGTAGTCCGGTGGTATACCACTGTGTGGGTCGTAGTAGTCCGGTGGTATAACACTGTGTGGGTCGTAGTAGTTCGGTGGTATACTACTATGTGGGTCGTAGTAGTCTGGTGGTATACCACTGTGTGGGTCGTAGTAGTCCGGTGGTATACTACTATATGGGTCGTAGTAGTCCGGATGTATACCACTGTGTGGGTCGTAGAGTCCAGTGGTATACCACTGTGTGGGTCGAAGTAGTCCGGTGGTATACTACTTTTGTGGGTCGTAGTAGTCCGGTGGTATACCACTGTGTGGGTCGTAGTAGTCCGATGGTATACCACTGTGTGGGTCTTATAAGTCCAGTGGTATACCACTGTGTGGGTCGTAGTAGTCCAGTGGTATACCACTGTGTGGGTCGTAGTAGCCCGGTGGTATACTACTATGTGGGTTGTAGTAGTCCAGTGGTATACCACTGTGTGGGTCTTATTAGTCCAGTGGTATACCACTGTGTAGGTCGTAGTAGTCCGGTGGTATACCTCTGTGTGGGTCGTAGTAGTCCAGTGGTATACCACTGTGTGGGTCGTAGTAGCCCGGTGGTATACTACTATGTTGGTCGTAGTAGTCCGGTGGTATACCACTGTGTGGGTCGTAGTAGTCCGGTGATATACTACTTTGTGGGTCGTAGTAGTCCGGTGGTATACCACTGTGTGATTCGTAGTAGTCCGGTGGTATACTTCTATGTGGGTCGTAGAAGTCCAGTAGTATAGCACTGTGTTTGATCGCAGTAGTCAAGTGGTATACCCCGTGCGGGTCGCAGTAGTTCAGTGGTATCACATTGTGTAGGTCGCGGGATAAATCCATCCCCACTATAGCTGAAATTCATTACTGTTCAAGTTGATAATTTCAAAATTTCAGAGTTCAATTTAAGCGTGCTTTACAAATTGCAAGTTTCTCTTAGAAAAGTGTAATTTCTGTATCAGTCGCAAAATCTCTAAAATATAATTATGATAAATATTCGACTCCTTAAAACAAAACTATGGTGACTTTATAGTATCTCAACATCAAGAGAGACAGGAATCCATAGAGGTTTGGACGGGGAAATGAGAAACAAAATACCAAGAATGCTCGTCTTTAGCACTAAGTATTGCGGACAGACCAAAAAAAAATAAACTAGATTCCGTTTTTAGCTTTTAATCACATGGACCCTATTACTAGTTTATGGCTAGCTATACAACAAAACAAAAGCCAGTTGTGTTATTTAGTGAAATGTATATTAAACTTTAAGCATTTTTTTTTATTTCCAAATGATTTTTTGAAGTAATAATATTACAAAAAAGTAACTAATTTATTAATTCATTTTTTTTATTTATTTATTCTCAAAAAATTACTGAGCAATTTTTATGCCGACCACCATTGATCATTACCCATCATTTCCCCCTGTTAAAGAATATCCTGTGTGCCCTTTTGTGCTGAACAAAAAGTACAAAAGTACAAAAAGGTACTTCACTTCACGACAGGGCATCTAATTTCAACCGCAGACATCCTGTGTCAATTGTTTGGCCATTTAATTGTATTAAAGATCCTGTATATTGTAATTAAGAATGTAACAGCACTTAAGTGAAATTTTATATAGTAATATAATTAGTCTTCTAAACAGTTTTCAAAACATCCAAGAATAAGTTAAAAATGTACTGCAAATGTTTATACGCATTATAAAGAAATCATTCAAGTATATGCATTCATTTCTTTTTTGAAAAAAAAAATGGCTAAGACTTTATCGAAAATAAATTATATACTTCCATTTGTAGACATAAAATGTAAATTCGGTAAGATCTTTACAACTAAAGCTTTTTGGAACTTACAATAATAATAAATCGTCATTTGAGCATAATGTTTATGATATAAAACCATATTAAATTTGAGTTACGGGATATTTAATGTCTTATGCAGTTTCTGTTGCAACACATTTTTTTCCTGTATTACGGCGTGTCTTAGTGTAAGTCTTCTGTCATTTTATTCGGATTTCGATTATTCGAACGAAATACATTTTCAGTCCCTGCACTTACCGAGTGTGGACTGTTTATTATGAATTAATCATTAAAATCCCATACTCTTCAATAACAAGATTTTTTTGCTTCAGTTTTTAATATTGCACTATAGTACTAGTATTTAATGAATGCGAATGATAGCAACACATCTGAGTGGCCGAGATGTAAACGCGCCGGACTAGACAATCTAAGAACTGCTGGCCGCGCGGGTTCAATCACGTCAGTCAAGGATAAGTCGTTGTATCCTATAGAAATAATATATAATCAGTTCAATAAAAACAAACGCTTTTCTTAAGCTTTCGACGTTTAGTCTTCTTCAGAAAAAATTGACGTTTATAAAATGACAAATGACGCAACGTCCGTTTAAAATCCTATAGAAAGAAACTTAACGCACATAACTTGATGTTGATTAGTTGCAGGCACGGATTCGAGAGTGTTTCAAGCAGCTTATAGCTTCCAATACAATTTGAACTAAAATAGATACGTATAAACTAAAACATTAATTAAAAAAAAAACAGAAAAAAACATAAGGCACGTGTTTTCTATGGGAAAAAATATTTATGTTTATTACATTTATTTTGCTAAATTTGTTGCATATTGCGTCTGCGGCACAAAGCCCCATTATCGAATAATTTCATATTCAGTATAATTTTTACTTCCTGTGATCTGCTGATAACATGCACTTATTATAAAAGTTAATAAATTATACATGTGTCTAGAGGGTAAACAATTTTCATTTAGGTTAGGTTATGTATAAATAACTATTTATTAATAATTATTATTAATTATATAATTATTTATAATGAAAGTAGTACTCAGTACTACTCTTTTATCTATATATACTTGTATTTCTTGCAAACAATAACATAGTGATGGGTATTTCCGTACATTTCGACAAATGATAAGATTTTAAACCTTTGTAGATAATGTGCAAAATATGCAATGTTAAACACTACAATCGTCCACTTTATAAAAATTACTAATTAATAAAAAGTTTAGATTGTCAATAAGAATTAACAGGAGTATGTTAGCTTACTGCTTTAACATATGACATGGCCGCATAAAAGACAACGCCATACCTCTAGGCCACCGGTTTAATCATAAATCAGATTAAGCTACTTAAGGGGGCTATACACAGTTTTCAAGGCTTCTCAGTAAACAACTGACTGCGTCACAATCAAAACCTCACACACAAGTCTCTAATCACACACCTGAAATAAATGCATTTCATTATAACATATGAACCTCACAGTAAACAATTAAAAATACATGTCCACCTTCTAGTTTTCTGGCGCGTAGCCCCGTGTTTTTCATTGTTTTGGTCGCGAAAACCAACAATAAAAAGAGTGAATTACCTCTTTACGCAAAGTAGCAAAAATATATTAACGTCACAAAATTGAATCACAACCTATAGTGTTTTTTCCTTCTTAAACAATGCACGATCTGAAAATAAAATCCAAACAGGGGGTCATGGAAATATTTTTCCACTATTCTATGTCTTCTGCATACCCTTTAAATTTAAGAGCTGTTTTCTTTCGAGCTAACTTTATGGACCATACATTCGAATCTGACAGGTACTTAACAAAATTTACGGATCAAACACCACTAAATTCAATTTTACTTGATAACTGAAACACAATACTAGCCACTGAAACTTGACATATAGCAACTTTAGATATTAAGAAGCTAAAATATTCTTTTCAATTACAAAATGGTCTCTTATTTCTAAATTTGACCCTGGAAAATTCGAAAGTAAATGACCGAAACTGTGTGATGCCTCCTAAAAGTGACGTAAGTGTGAGAACTAAAGCTCAACAAAGCAAAGCAACGGTGTCAAACAAGGCAGTTCAGTCGCATGGCAGGGTTATTTTAGGAGAGGAACAAGTGTGATGAAAGGAGGGGAGAGGCGAATGATTCTCAATACTAGTGATACATAGGAATTGACGTATAAACAAAACTATATCTAGCCGACGAAAAAATGCATTTAGTTGGCTTTATTGTGTATATTTATTTTTTTCTATTTTATTATATATATATCTTATTATATATTAATATATATATATATATTACATATATCTTATTACATCTTTCGATTAACCCATTCTTCAGAGGCTCATATATTTATATTAAAAATAAAAGACTCAGAAATTATGTAGGTATGTATTTAAAAGCACGTAATTCACAGGCACATGCATAAAACACAACAGCTATGAATAATTAATAAGACTTTATTTACAGGATATAGCATTACTTATATCTCATCAACAAAAGCTAATTATTTTCTGAGACAATTCGTTTTTTTTTGTTTGTTTTTTTTGCAAATTTCAAGATCCTTGATTAACTAAGGACGTCAACGTATCTTTTTCTAAAGTTATGACAATTGAAAATGATATCAGTATTGAATTGACGGATATTTGCATGAAGTCTGACGTGAAAATTGCTTTTATTAAATACATGTAATTTAAAGTTATTTACCATAAGGAAAACAAAACATTGCCAGATCAAAATTGTTAACATTTGTTTCTTTCTCAATATACCTAAACATGAGATATAATCACGGAAATATTGCTTTAAAATATTTACCATTGGCAAAAACAAAACAACAAAGCATAGCCAGATATCTCTATTTTAAGATGTTCAAAACAGTTTTTTGTTTCAAGTATACCTAAACATGAGATATAATCAAGGAAAACATCGCTTTTAAAACGATCTGTATATTAACCATAAATCAAACACAAGAGAGATTAAATGTTTTAAAGCGTAATTTAATCTATAGCATCAAAACCACGCCAAAAATTTATTAATACGCCCTAAAGATAATAATTTTAGAAATGCACTCTGTCAATATATGAAAATAATCCTTTTTACAATTTTTCCTCACTTTTAATCTTTAAAATTCATCTAATATATTTAAGTTATATGGTTACACAGTTACAATAACTGCCTAAGTTATGGATAGTTATGGTTTATTTAAAGCTGCACTACTCCAGTTGAGCCTAAATATTTTATGAAAATCAATATTGATTAAAATGAACTAAATTTTTAAGAAATGTAACAATATTGAAGATCAAACATATATTTTACATGTTATGTAACAGGCAGTAAGTTGAACGCTCAAGAAGAATATTTTGCAAAATGAAAGGTATTACACAAGACTATCAAACGTTATCTTTATTTTCAGCTTGACACATATATTAAGTTAGCCATTGTAAAGAAATAAACAGTGCAATTGAATAAATATATTGATGTATTCTATAAATGTCATAATTCTCCTGTCCATTCCTAAATAAAATGTATATATGTTTCAGGAATTCCATTGGTAAGAGTCATATCATGTACACAAATTGACGACTGGTATTTGAATCGCTGTTGATTACATGCAGTGGCATATGCAGATGAAAAAGAAACTACATGTATTAAACAGTTCAAAGAAGAATAACAGAAAACTAAGGAAGAAAACAAATTAACACCAGTGTGGTATTAAACATTTGTTACAAACAGATGTTCAAATAATGACAGTTTTATATCCTTTTACACAGGATTTCCAACATATACATGTATATCTTTCATCACATTTTCCAATGTTATACAAACATCAACGTAAAAAAATGAAGGGTTTTTACTATGAAGCAAGCAAAGCAATCAGCTTGACCACAGGTGAACGTCGCGTGTCCGTGACTTACACTATACCCCCGTCCCCCCTCTACAACACAAAACCCTTAAACATCATCCAAACATCATAAGTATTGACAAAAATAAATTTATGAAAAAAAAAAAAAAAAAAAACATTTATGACTCTATGAAAAATTATAA